CTCTAGGAAGAAAAATTTGTTGGCCAGGAGTGAGACTTTCATCCTTTTATATTTTTTTTATCATGAACTATGTGAATGTTCAGGCCTAATATTATAAAAATATTTATATTATATGTATGTTCTAAAATAATTAAGATCATTGGAACTCTCCCAGTTTAATAATGTTATATAAATAAAAATCAGGTTTAAAACACTATACATACAATATGAACCCAATTTTTTACAAACTTATATACAGGTAAAGACATTGAAGAAAATATTTCTTCTCTTGTTTGAACCTTTCTGTATTTTCTAAACTTCTACTGATGGCATATTTTTCCTTTACAATCAGATAAGCACTACATAACTTATTTTTAACAACATATGCGTATCATTTGTATGTTCAATTAAAACTGATTGTTGAAAAAACACACACTTTTAGTGAAAGGCGAAAGATTCAAACAATCTAAAGAGAAACCACAATATAAACACATACACTTTCAGACAAAACTTAAAACTAGCTGTTCTCTATACTTGGAATAACTTCTGCCCATCAACATCTAACTTGCAGTTTAACTCTTCACCTTTTCCATGAAATATTTTATAACTACTTAGTTCTATAAGAACTTCTCTATTTCATGGCTTCTTTTGGTGAATATGGATACAATCTTGCTCCTGACTTGCACTGTTTATTTTGCATCATTTATATAAAAGTCTTATATCCCAACTAGAGTGTTAAGTTGGAATCTATTTCCCCATTTCTTGAATCCGGGCCAGCCTTGTAACTAGCTGTAGCCAACAGAATAGATGGTTTGCTAGTTCCAAGCGTAGGCCTCAAGGCACATTTCCTCTTGCTCTCTTGGAACTCTGTCAAGATACTACGTAAATAAGCCTGAGTTAGGCTGCTCCTGGATGAGAGATCACATGGAGCAGAGAAGAGCTGGCCTAGCCAAGGCATGCTAGACCAGGCAGCCCCTAACTAATCTAGCAAACTGACCTCAAAGCCTGAGTGAGCTCAGCTGCAAATTGCCAATCTAAAGAAATTTGAGCTAAATAAATGGTTCCTGTTTTAAACCAATACATTTTGGAATGAAGTGGTTTTTTAGCAAAAGCTGCAGAAATAACTGAAACATACATAATGGCTTCATCTTTTGAATGTCATACTTTTCACAGTGTGTCTTATATTAGAATCAAGTATTTGCTGACCACCTCTTTGTTCCTGGAGAGCAGAAACTGTATTATATTTATCTCTGTATTTACACTCACCTAGATTGTGCTTTGTTTATCACAGCCACTCAGAGTTTGATAAATTGAAATAAAAATCAACTGAAGTTCAAATTCTGGTGTTCATCAGCATTGACTATTGAATGTTTAACAAGAAAAATACAAACCATAGCACTGTTAAAAAATCAAATAACTACTGAGAATCTACCATATTTTAGGCCAGCAAGTATTAGTACTTGGAGTGTACATGTCACTTCAAGATAGTTAATAAGTGAACCCTTAGGTTGTTCTTCTCAAGATTTAGTATTAACCCAAATTTGGATTTTGATAGAAATATGCACTATATTTAGTATATGAATGTGAAATTGTGATGCAGTCCTACTTTTATAAACTTGGAAATGTAAAAAGTATAAAGAGGCAAAGAAAGAGATTCTAATGTTTACTATCTGATTCACATTATTATTAATAGTAGATATTCTAACCCTAGATATCTGACAAATGAGATATGTATGTACATTTACTATAACTTTGAAGTGCTATTCATGTAAAATATCATGAAAGTTTGCATATTCAAAATGTCACATCACTCTTTTCCTTAAGAAGTAGGAAAATTAGAATAGGACAGGACAAATGAGAAAGTATGAGTAGTTCTGCTATCCACATCTAATTTGCTTCCTAATCAAAATCTATAGTTTTTAAATGACACTCTGCTATTATAGTCTATAAAGAGATGATTTCATCACATGTTCCATATTTTGACTATTTTAAAAATTATCATCCGATTGATAATGTCTGAAACACTCTAAAGCCAAAGAACATGAAAGCATGCTCAAGATGAATGTACTCCAAATTGGAATGTAAATACACTCAATGGCAGTAAAAGAACATCCTTGCTTCACTGAACTGGGAACAAATCCCCTTCTTGCATGGCTATGCACCCTACAACTTACCTTAACTTTAACGCTTTTCTTTTAACATCTGCCAATCCTGTTTATTGTTATCTTTGACTTATAAAGGACACGAAATTCAGTTAATAAAGTAGATAACTAAATCAGAACCTAAAAGGTTTAGATAGGTTACGTGAATAAAATTGATAAAAATCTGTGTTGTTAAAATGTTTAAAAGAAAAATATAGTCCAAAGTGACTAAAGTCTCCAATTTTGGTCCATAAAATCAATCGCATAAGGACTGAATGAGGAATAGGTAACAATGCTACTACACTTGAAAAAGACTCAATTATTAGAAGATAGGAAGCTTGATAAATCAGGATAAAAAGTCCATCCCCCAAATTGGAATGTATTAATAAAAACATAAAGAGTCAACAAGTTCAAGTTAACTGACACAGTTTTTAGCCAACTTAAGAATTACCTGTCTCATAATCAGATTGTCTTAAGGTGGACCCTGCTGCTTTAAAGCAGTGAGTTCTCTTCAAGGAAGAAATTCAAGCACAGTCTGAGTGCTGTACAGGGACTCAAGTACCAAGCCAAAGGTTCTCCTCCATGGTTTTTAAGGCCAGCCTCCAGTCCCCAAACTCCTGAACTCTACTTTAGGGTTCCAAAGAGTACATGCAAAGGACACATATTCAAGAACGCTTAATCATTCCTCATTTTAAGTCAAGATACCTCCTTTGGAAACATACTCCCAGGCTTTCTATTTATGGTTTGAACATCTCTATAGCTCAAAAAAAAAAAAGAAGTCGCCTTTTAAAAAGATGTTCACTTGCAATAAATAATGAAAATGACTAAGATAACTGTAAGGAGATCAGTATTTTCAGAATGGGATGTGGAAGGATAATTTTTCTCACAATAATTCAACCTACCTTAGACCCCCTAATAATGAGCTACGGCCTGAGAACTAGGAAAGTTTTTCAAATGATTTGTTAAAAACTTTAAGCTGCTTTAATAGAGATAGGCGTTAATAGAAATTAGGTGAGAGATTCAACAGGAAGAGACATACTCTTTCATTATTAGTAAAATTTTGAAGTTTTGGATTCTACTGTTAAAACATCATAAAAGAATCTGGAGAACAGAAATGTAATAGAAAATAGGAACTTAAGTATAAACAACAGTGCTCACTGAGAGCCCAAAAGTACTTGAGCATTCATCCCCAGCTCAGATTCACCTTATTTTGGCTGTGCTTTCGAACTTATTCCCTTAGTTAACATTTTCTGTGAACACTAGTTGCTTTCCATAGGGACCAAAACCACAAACTAGAGAGAATGACCACAACTTCCTTCTCATGAATAGTGAGAAGGGAAACATTTTTTCCTCGGATGTGTTTCTCCAATGAAATTCAGTTTCTGCTTTCCTAGAAAGCCAATTGGCTCCGAAGTTTCTGAGAAGAAACAAGGGGAAAAGTCCAACAGATCCACTCCACAAAACCCTAAAGCAAAATCCCAATCTTTCAGTCTTACATCAGCCAAGGGGTTAAAACCTGAATGTCTCAGGTGAGTTGCTGAGTGCACAGGTGGAAGGCCTTAAGTGTAGCAAGAGATACTGAACTCCATTCAGGACCTTGCTGAGAAAGCTTTTATGTGTAAGAGAACCCCCACTTCGGCCCCCAAATATTAAGTTGACACACGTTTCTGGGACGCAGCCTGAATCCTCAAACTTTGGCGGATCTATAGAGACACAATATTCTGTTTTCTGCTTAACAGGGCTTTCCAGAATTGTCATCAGATGACAGATTACACCGCCCATCACAAGGATTCAGGGGTAGCTCAAGCCATCCATTATGGGTTAAAAGCTGTTCCAGCATGAATCAAGTCACAGTGGTAAGGAGACTACCGATACAGCTTTAAGAAATACCCTGGGCATCTAAAAGTTTTCAGAATGCAAACTATGTCAGCTCTGAAAACAAGAGGCACTGAATCATTATGGCAGGAGAAACAAAGCCAGCCCCCTTTTTAAAAACAGACCAAAAAAAAGATTGTTTTAATAGGAGAGAAGCATCAGTCATTGATTCTTACTTCATTCACACTTTCTATCCAACCCCATCCATCTTCAGAGTGAAGAGATGACAGAGCCCAGTTCACTTTCTCCCTCCTTAGGCCCCCGCCCATCCTGCTCCTCTGTACCCGAACCACCAAGGCCCACCCACCATTCCAACCCGCAGGCAACGGCCTTACAGAACAATGCTTTCTATCGATGGGCTGGCAAAGCTCAGGTATGCCTAGGGACAGGCTTGCATCATGTCACTTTAACAGAGTTGCCTGCCAGGTGAGCATGAGTGGTCAGGGCCTTTGCTAATCATCTTCTAAAATGACCACTTAGTCACTCATGGCTGACCACATTCCACGAAGGAGGAGGTGGGAAGACTTAAGGCAACAGAAACAAGTCAACAAGACAAACCAACAATCCAGAATGTAAAATATTTCATTTTCCTTAAACGCTGCCGCCTTCATTATCTGCAAACAAAAGTCCTCTAGGCGGGCAGTCTCCGCATCAGTGCACCTGCTTAGCATTGGTTTGCTGAGTTATCTTTTTGCTGTGTCTGCAGAAGCCAACTATAGCACAATGGGTCACATCACTTGAGGGTCACTTGAGTCCCTCTACTCTTTGGGTCCCTCCTCCCACCTCCTGCCTTCCCTTCTACCCACAAAACCTTTAACTCCGCCATAGCTAAGGATCCCAGATAGCTAAATAAAAGAGGTGGCCTCAGACACAGAGAAAAACCCTTAGGTCTCCAGTGTGAATCGCCAACGCCAATCCCCCTTCCCTCCCCTTTTCCTTAAGACCTGATGGTCTTCAGTCACACATCTTAAAAGAAAAACAAAAAACAAAAACACAAAGACTTACTTGTCTCAAGTCGATGAAGGCCAACTGCAGCGTGTCCTCCTGGAACCCAGGCACCGGGCCGGATCTGGCAAACTCTGTGGGAAAGAAAAGAGGATAAAAAGCGCCTTTAACTAACCATGGACAGGGAGATTGGCAGACGGATGACAGGGAAGACAAGAGAGGCTGGGGGAGAGGAGGACCAAGCTTCTAAGGAGTCATGTCTCTCTCCCTTCAGCGTCTTTGTTTGCCCTTCAAAATTTGTGTCATCAAAACACCATTAATTCCAGCATCCTGACAGCAAGGAAACTGTACTAATTCGACCTGAAATTTATTCCCATGAGCCGCGCTGGGCTTCAGAGTATTTGTTTTGTGAATGGACAAACAACTTGCAAAGGAGGAGGGAGTGGGGGAGAGAAAAAAGTTTTTCCTCTCAACACAATAAAATCTTCAGCTGTGAAACTCTTTTCAGTTCCGAAAGCTATTTATATTTTAGATCGCTGAAGGAATTTTCCAATTTCACGCCTGTCACCTCATTCCCCAAGCATTTATCAAAAAATATTCCCTGCCACATCATTAATTATTCCCTCACTGATTATTCGTATTATCTCATGAGTGCATTATTGCCAACACACATACACACACTCGCATACACCAGCAACGGAGGCGCCCCTATACGGGGTTTGGCTCTCGAGCAAAGGAGTATTTGCACATATGAAAAGGCCCATCTAAATAAATCTTTTGTCAAAAACTTAGGGAACATTTGCACATGTCCACCTTTCTAGTACATTTTTTCTTTTTGACTTCTATTCCCCTTTCAAAACTTCTTTCTCTCTTCCCTCTACTCCAATTTAGTCTTAGGTCAAAGAGACCAGACCACATGAATGCTATTTACAATTTACAGTAGTGCCTTGGGTGCATGCTCAGTTTATGACTCTGGCTTCTACATCGTAACAAGAAGATAACTGCACAGGGCTATAGGGACAAATACTAGTAACAGTTAAGAATGTCAAATTTTATTATCCCTAAGCCTGCTTATTATGAAATCAAAAGGTCTTCTGTAAGCCGCATACACAGGCACACATGTGCAAACACACACACATAGCAAATTCAAAGGTGGACAGTCACTATGTCTTCCATTCTCTCTGTGAAGCTAAAGTGGGATGGACATTTAGCATCAATCGACTCTTTACCCAAAAACAACTCAAGGATCTACTCAAAGAAAATATGAAAAAGAATGTTTTCCTTTCAATTATATTTTCCCCCAGGAATAAACTTAAATTATAGAGTTGGTATCATATTTTCCTTTTGAAATTAAATAAAATCCATCACGATATTTGCATATTTGTGTGGAGAATTAGTTCAAATAACTAGTAGCTGGATAGATTCAAATGATTTGTGAATGATGATAGGAATTTCTGTTCTTTAAAAATACTTTCCATCTAGCGGCTTCTTAGGCATAAGAGGTTTTCACAAAACCTTTGCCTCCCTTTAAAAAAAATGACACTAACAAGTCAAGTTGCAGGGGTTGTGAAAACAGTGTGTGCCATAAAATTTAAAACAATTTATTAAACTAATTACAATATAACACAAATGTCATCAAAGAATCTTAATTTAGACATTTCAAATAAAAGTGACTCACAAATGGAGACAAACTATATACCACGATTAGCATAACTAAGTTTCTATTTGCTTTGAAAAGAAAATTCAAATGCCATTTATAAATTAATTCTGTCATATAGATAGGCCAAATGATTAAAGTTTTAAAGAACTAAAATTCTAAAACTGTACAAATACTTGATGAGGGCCTTGTTAATGGAAAGCTTGACATAATCCAGCCTTCATATTTTACAATAGCCATTATCTATGATAACCTTGTATACAGCAGCTGTTCAAGTCACATGTACAAATTTCCCATTGTATGTTCCTGTAGAAAGCAGTTCTTTGAATTATAGGCATAGCCACTCTCTTTGACAGCCTCGATTGTCAGGTGGTCAGCTTAAATAAGCCTCCCGTGCAACATGATCTCATCCAAGGTTGGGGAATTACCACCATTACTACTCCTGCATGACTCGAGGCTATGAAGCATGATTTGAAGTACTGCAGTCCTCTCTGTCAGTAGGAATCCTACTTGAGTCAAATGCAGCAAGTAGCAAGGTGTTCTACTGCTTACACACGTGCAACTCAAAAGAACTGCCCTATGATACATGCTTTGAGAGCTGGCTAAACATTCTTGCATCTCCTTATTAGGCATGCTCCCTGGAGCTAACAGATGATGCTGATGAAACCACTCAGGATTCTGGATGTGATTCATATTTACTTCTCAGAGTCTCACTTTATAGACCTCATTTTTATGACACACTGAATCTTTCAGCTTCCCAGAGGACATAATGGCCTTTCAGATTTGACTTTCCTTTTATAAATCAGGGAGTCAAAGAATGACAACTGCATCAAGGTATGACAAAGTAAAGAGATTAATTTTCATGTATAGCTTATGAAAATGTCTAATTACAATATATTCAACTTCATATTTTTATTTTTTCTCATTGTCTTATGTGTGTAATGTTGCCGGCCCATGAAGACAGTAAACTCCTTAAGGATAATGGCCATATCCCAAAACCTAACAAGTATTCAAAATAGTAAATGTTCAACAACTTACATATTAAATGAGTTACGAAAACAGCATGACTCATTAATCTCACAAACATCTCACTGCCAATAAAAATCTTTAGCTTGCACTTGGTAAGGTGTCCTTAACATGAATATTGATAAGCAGGCTTTCGGAATTTATAATTTCCCTTAAATCAGGTGCACAATGATTTAGAGGATGGGCTGTGGGGTCGTAAAAATCAGAATTTGAGCCCCAGTTACTAGCTCCTTAGCCGTGGGAAAATTAATTTCTTTAAAGCTTTAATGTCTTCATCTCAAAAATGAGGATAACAGTGCATTCCTTACAGTGCTGCTATGAGGACTGTATGAAATAACATGTGTAAAGCAGTTGGCAGTGTGCCTGGCATATCATAATTCATTATCATTACAATTAGTTTTTAGTGTGAATATGCATTTCTCTGGGAAGAAGATTCATAGCTTTCACTAACTTCTCAGAGGGTTGGTAAGGTTAAGGAACAGTTGTATATCCAGGGCAAAACATTAGAAGTTCACCTACCATTCAGTGATGAGCTGGCACTGCAAATTTATTATAGGCAAATACTTCAGTGCTTCACTGAAAGGAAGTTAATATGACTAATTACTAGTGTACTAGCCATACCACAGTAATTTTCATTGATATTATTTTAAAAATCCAATAGAAGCATAAAATTGATATGTAATTTGTGACTTGGTATACCTTTAAAAGCAGATTGTTGTCCTAGACTCAATTTTTTAGATATATCAAAACTATGAATAGCATAAGAAAGTGTGAATATTTAAAAAAACATAAGAATTTGTATATAGTTTGATTTCAACTATATAAAATATAAAATGCATAAAAAACAGAACAGTAAGCACACATTTCATAATATTAACTGAGGCTGTTGCTAAAGGGAAGATTGTTAAGAGGGATTTCTTTTTTTTATATCTTATAAATTTTTAAAATGATTCCAGACCAGTTTTATAACCAGAGAAAAGGAAATAGAAGAACACACGCATGCACACACACATACCCCAAATTATTTTTCAGTGCTGATTTAGTAGTACCTTTTCTAGTGACGAAAGATGTAACTTGTTCAAGATTTATCATTATAGGCAACTGGGATTGACTTCTACATCCGAATTCCCAGAGGCTGCCTGATAGAAAAGAGGAAAACTACACAAGGGAGGGGGGCAAGAATCTCCCAGTCTGTTGTAATACACTGATGCACATAAAAATTGATTATATGTACAGACAAGTCACAAATGAAAATCCTCCTTCTTTTGACACCACAGAACGGGGAACATGTATGCAAGTGGGGCCAAGTGGAATCAATGGATATATAGAGCACAAAGCACAAGTCCCTTTCTGGATTTGTCTCTGGATTCCAAGATCTGTAGTAGGTTTTCAGTCTCTAAATGGCCTAAGCCAACACAAAAGTTTCCATAGCCTGGAGTTCTGTAGAGTAGCCTGGGTATGGCAAGAAAATCAGGGTGCTTGTTAGCACAGAACCAAACCCTACCTTTGACCATCTTGTGTTACTTAGGCACTGAGACAAAGTTCCAGTGAGGCAGGCAAGAAAGCTTCGTATTGGAAAACTTGTTGAGATCAGCAAAGCCCCTGACCAGAAACTGAACCACACCCCAGAAAGCTCGGCTTGCCTCAGCAGCTCTTCCCTACCCTGGTCCAGTCAAGGGATGGACTCCCAGAGTTGAAGCTGGCATCAATTTGCAAATGTGAAAAATACTTTAAAGAGCATATTGTCAAGTCATTGAAGTTAATGAAGGTTTTCATTAAAAAAATAAAAAGCAGGTGTAAAAGTTACAGGCAAGAAGGACTACTGTTAAAGGAAGGTTTAAATGGGAAAAGAAAATCACACCAAAAAGTATTTTACTTAACCACATATCCAACATTCCCTTGCATTTTCACATACAGTTAAATGTATGAGGTATAACAATCATTTTGGAAAACAATATTACTTTCTCAAAAATATCCTGTAGGTTTACATTTCTATTTTAATGGAATGAAATTAGCAGAAGTGAGGGGGAAAAAGGAGGGATTCCACTGATTTCAAAATGCTTTCCAGACTTCTTGGAGGCTGATCTTAAAATTACTAACTCTGTCACTTAGAGGGGGAAGAAAATAATTTTTTTAATTCAAAATTATCAGGCACATTCACATTTGGCTGAAGAAAACAAAATATACATTTATAAAGAGCAAAGAACCCTAATTAGAATAAAATGGTTAAGTCAGTTACAAGGGGCTTTGAGAAGTCAAAATGACTGCCTTAGTCTGTAATCTGTAAAACTAGATAGGACATCTTGTAGTTCATCAAAAGCAAGTTGTGAGAAACAAAATATAAAACTAATTCTTCTGAATCTTTGCAAATTGTCCATAGAATAAGTAATTTTCAAAGGAATATGAACAAAATAAAATTTATTTCAGAAAAACAAAACTAGTACAATACCT